ACTTTGAGCTTTTCTTTAGTGTAGACTTCTCTACACATTATCCCCTTTCCCAGAGTAGCTTTCCAAATAGAAGACTCAAAATAGAGAAAAACAGAGGTCATCACATGAGCTCTTCCTAAATCTCTCCTCTGCCAGAAGTGCCTCAGTGGCCACGCAGGTCCTTTCTCCCTCCCCGCTTCCCTACCTTCCTGAAGCTAATCCGTCCCTGCTCTGGAGTGCACCCCACCTCTGCCTTCTCGGGGGCCTCACTCTGTCATTCTCCCTTCTCTAACTTCATTCTTTTTTTACTCCTCCATCAACTCTTACCCTTCAACAAATAAATATGCTCACATCTTAAAACAATATATTTCATCTTAAAAAGTCCTAACAGTCTATCTGCCTCTAACTACCACCACATCTCTCTTCTGAGCCAAATGTTTGGGAAGAGACGCCCTCCGTTGCTGTCTTCTCTTTCTCACGCCCTACTCACTCTTCACTCACTGCCTGCCACCCTGCTGGCACACACCTCCAGTCGTCCAGCTGCCACAGTCACCGGCACTTGCAGCTTTCCTGCCCTGCCCACATTCAACGGTGTGTAGGGAATTATGTATGTGCCTACCAGCCTGGCACTGGGGTAGGTGCTGCTGTAACAGAAAGGAAAGGCAGATGGGATCCCTCATAGGGCTCATCGGATCAGGCAGTTCTGCAAATACTCAGGTTTGTTTACTTCCACTGCTCGCCTTCACAGGCTTCACTTAAATCTCCCTATTCTCCAAGTCTCCTTTTTTTCCTTATACATAACTTTTCAAAGCAATCACTTCTACACTCAAGGCTTCAATTACTTTATATACTCTAATGACAATACAATTTTTCAATGTTTTCATTTAACAGTTTTATTTTACACTGGATGCCTCATTTACTAAAACCAAATTCCAAGTTGCTTTGCAAAAGCATCACCAAAAAATGTGATATGTTTAGCCTATCAACTGTAAGAAATAGCTTTCCCTAATAACTTTTATTGGTCTGATGAGAGGAGGATTCAGGCTGGGAAAAGTCACGAAGGGAACTTCTGGGTGCTGCTAGGAATGTTCTAGATTTAGATCTCATTTTACACCTTAATACAAACTACATATACTACGCATATCAAGAATCACTGAGCTCTGCAGTTAAGGTCAGTGCTCTTCACACACTGCACTGTTTTATAAAGGAGGCGTCAGGGGAACTCAGCCACAGGCAGCGTCCGCACTGCAGCCGCAGGGGTGAGTAGTTGGGACAGAGGCCTGTGATCCTTTAAGAAAAACTGCCGATACCAGACTTAAACTTCAAGTGACATCTTTAAACTGTCCACTTTTTAGGGTAATTCAAATCAAACTCAACCAGATACTAAAGTAACATGGAGATTCACAGGACAGCTTGGAAAACCACTCAGTTAAAGTAACAGAATTCATATAACTCTTAACACAGGGGAGGCAGCCTTCTTTGGCCTTGAGCTGCACTATGGGCTTAATGACGCAGATCATACATTAAGATTTTATTTGGTCTTGAGAGAGTGCTAATTTTTTTTAATTTGGTGGTAATTCTTTAAAAATGGGAGTGTCCACCTGAAATAAAAACCACCAAGATTTGGCTGCTCAGACAAAAAAAGGAAGATGGAGCAACACTGGACCTGCACTCCTGCAAGGCAACAACAAGCAGTGACTCCGACAGCACCAGACAGCACCAGCCCCAGCACTGGCTGACGCTCATTTGGTGCCGGAACCGCCAGCTTTTCTTACAGCAGTGGCGCTGAGCGGAAATGAGCACTGCTGCTGGGAGCGCCTGCAGGAAAAGTGGGAACACGAAAGTCAGGTGTTCCTCCAAGTGCAGCTCACCTGTTACCTGGCTGTCCAGGGCACACAAGTCCACAACCTCAGGTGTGAGCAGTGGCCTCTAGGACAATGACAGAGAAGAACCAGAGCAATGTGAGGTCCAGAAGGACCAGGAAGGGCATAGGGAACTGGAAGAGCTTGCCAACAATGAGTGGCAGGGACCTCCTCCATCTCTTCCAGAATGGTCCTAATTCCTACCTCGGGTAATTCTGCTTGGTAAAGAGATTCTTCACACTATTTTTGCAACCTCAGTGAGCCTATGTTTATTTCAAAATAAAATGTTTAAGAGAGCATTTCCTTACACTGATTAGAAATCTGTCTTCCTTCCTGTACCTTAATCAGTCTGTAACCACATACTGTATGACAAGTTTAATCTTTCTTCCACCAGAAAGCTCTCCAGTATCTATAACTCTCTTGTCCAGGTCCCTGCCAAGAGTCTCCTTTTTCAAGGACTCTCTTGTCCTATAGAGCAGGGGGTCCCCAACCTCCAGGGGTCATGGAATGGTACAGGTCAGGGCCTGTTAGGAACCAGGCTGAACAGCAGGAGGCCAGCTTGAATGTAATGCACCTGAATAATCCCAAAACCATCTCCCCAACCCCAGTGTGTGGAAGAACCGTCTTCCACAAAACTGGTGCCTGGTGCCAAAAAGGTTGGGGACTGCCGCTGCAGAGTATTCATCCAACCGGCAAATGTCCACTGAGCACCCACCGTAAGTGTAGGTCGTTCCAGACTCTGGGGGTGTGGCAGTGAACTATGTTCTCGCCGTGTGGAACTGACACTACATTACGACACCTGACAATGCAACAAGCTATCATTAGACTTCCCAGTGGCCATATATTACTAATTTTATCACTCTTATAGCCCACTAAATTCCCAAATTCTTCTTCTTACGCATTGCTCAGATGCATGCTCAAACAACTAAGTTATTGGATCCAAATTTCTCTATTTGCTAAATGTTGTATTTTTAGAATCTGCCCTTTTCTTCAGTCTGTCAAGAACTTCTTGTATACCAGTTTTTTCCTACCTCTTAGCACCCACCATGTACATTCTACTATCTTGCTGTCTACAAATCTGATCAATATACCTCTCTGTATAATCACCTGAACAGGTCACTAAAATGTTGACCAGGACAGCACTGCGGTCACTAAGAACCGATGGCGTATGTCACTAGCACGCACCCCAGGAGACGCGGAGTCCCCACTCGGCACTCCACCAGTTCCCTCACTCCACAGGCTGTGAACCCCTGCCCATACCGTCCTGTCTACACCTGCCCGCGAGACATTATTTGGTGTAGGCCAAACTCCCTCCCAAAGTCAAGTGTAATAGCATAAACAATAAAATATTAATTTCTTAAATGAGAAGGTAACAATTAAAAGGGATGAACTACTGAAGGAGAATAGGTCAGTAGGTAGCTTCCAATATAAACCAGAAAGCTTTAAAAATAAATATTAGGTATACTTTTAAAAAGAAAATCAGTTTATGAGGAGGTACCTTTTTTAAAAAATGCACTTAAGTCAATTTATATAATTATATGAACTTTTCTACACACTGTACTTTGAACAGGGTATAGCTGAACACTAACAAATTTTCACTGGAAACTGTTTTCTATTGTTAGAGTCAAATAATTTTTTCTACTAGAAGTTTTTTTGCTTTCAATACATTCACTGGTAGTTACTTAAAAAATGGAAATGTTCTAAAATTTCCATAAGTATATTAGAACTCTACAAATTCTACCATTTATCCAGAAAACCAGGTTAAAATCATTTTAGAAATGCTAATATATGTGAATAAAGCATAACATAAATTAACATTCAGCACTTGGAAGTGAAATACAAACAAAAAGACAATTCATGAATATGGTAATGGTTTTTCTCTGGCACAAAATCTGAAAGCATTTCATGCATTTTAAGTGAATGTTCAATTTTAAGTTAACTTCCCGAGTATCGCCTTCCAGCTTTAGAATGAACATCCAGCAAAAGTCATTATACAGCCACAGCCTGGAATTCTTGACAACCAGGCAAAAGCTAAGAATACAGTTGATTTTTTTTCTCGCTAAGCAGAAAAATTTAACCTGTAACAAGTGCACACAAGTTCATGCAAGGCATGTGTAATACAACTAAGAAAATAAACTAAAAGTACTTCAGACTTATTCGTGTAGAGAAATGTTGTTTTATGCTACTTAAAAATTATGTTCATTAAAACCGAATCTCTCCTAATTTATACCTTTTATCCTAGTAGATATTAAATCTACCTAGAAAGTAACAAAATAAAATTTACTGCAAAATACTCTAAATTTGCTGCTCTTCACTAAACTCTCAAAGCAAACACGATAGTCTTATGTCAGTGCTGAGGGGACTAAAAGCACAACCCTCCACCCCGTCTTGCAACATCTATAAAACTCAAAAGGTTTTATAAGAGGGGACCCCCCAAAAACTGGAATTACCCTCAGGAGGACAGGCCCCCTGTAGTACAGGCTTCCCCCAAGGTGAGTGTTCTAGGAGCCCATCAGTATCAGTGCACCAGCTGGTGCTGGTGCGAGAGGCTGTGTGCAGCTTCAGTGAATTTTTCTTACGACTCTTTCAACACGTTTGCCCATTTCACGTTGGGGGATTCGTGAGCGCACCTGCCCACCCTGTGCTGAGTGAGTGTTCAGCAGTTTCTGACCAACAATGGCATGACCCCCATGCTTCCTTATTCACCACAAGCAACTCTTTTTGTTTCCCCAGTGAGAGAAGTACTCAAAGGGAAACATTTGACTGATGTGGAAGAGGTCAAACAAACAAACAAACAAACAAACATGGCAGAAGCACTAAAAGGCATCAAAATTGATGAATTCAAAATGTTTTAAACACTGCCAAAAAAAAAAAAAAAGGCTTGATAGGTGTATTGTATCAAATGGAGTACTTTGAAGGTGACTAAAGTTTAAAGTTGTAAGAATAAGTACACACTTTTTATAGATAAATTCTGGGTGTTTTGGTCTCTCCTTGTATTTTATTGAGTGAAGATGTCTTAAAACAAGTATTTGTAAGAAGTGGACTTATACCCTATGACACTGTATCTTATTTGCCAGGGTTCTTTTGCTCTCAAAGTGTACAGTTTGGGACTGGGGAATGTTAACCTCCAGGGAAGTGTCCGCCCTCCGAGCTGCTTACCTGAACACACTTCCACTCTGCTTCACCATTCAGAACATGCGCGGCATCTTGGGGAACATCCTTTCCCTCCCAGCTCTGGCATGGCTAGTGCCAGGACCGCGCCATGGGGCAATGGCCACCTGAAGATAAGCATCACTAGCCTAAAAAAGATTAAGAAGAGATCAGAAAATCAGGAATGTTATGTTGATTCAAATTTTTATTTGAAGTATTTCACAGCTTTTTATGGTGGAATTTTCATTCCTTTTATCTGAACAAAAGAAATTAAAGTATGGGATGACTGACTGCCCAGGACCACAAATGTCCATGGTAGACCACATAAGCTAACCTTGTGAGTAAAGACAGACATCCCTGGGCAGCCTTTGTGCACTGAATGTTACTGCATTTTGATCTGGAATCACCAGGCAGGTAATTTGATGTACTGACGGAACACTCGAGTTTGGACCCCCTTTCCACCCGGTCTTCCCCACAGGTGGTCACACAGAACACAGGCTGACTAGTTCCTCACAATCCAACCTGACAGGGTGCTGCTCCCTGCACAGCAGTCAGACCTCTGACAGCAGCAGGGGCTACACATAGGGCCCGCGGCAGGGGTGTAAACAGAGAATAAATACTGGCTCTTGAGTCAAAGAGCTCAAGGATGGGATTGGTTCACTCAGGCCCTCCAAACCTCCCATCTGCCAAGACCCTTAAAATAAAAGCTATAAAATATAAAGACAGAAACCAATAAAGGCAAATGGCTCTTTTTCTAAACCAAGCCTGGCAACTTGTGAGGAAGGAAAAGAGGAAGAAAAACAAAATAGGAAGCAAGGAAATTCTAAAAGACCGTGAGGGTTTCAGAGAAGCCTGTATAGCCAGGCCTCAAAGAGATTTTGATTAAAAAAAAAGTCAAACACCACAAATAGCTCTACTCATATTTTTAAATTTTAATTTCTAAAGGGCATATATACATTTTTATCACTGATCCCCATGTGTGTAAATTTTAACACTAGATATTAACTGAGAAAATTTCCAATATTTAGATTCCCTAAATTTCCAAAGAAAGCTCTCCAAACAGGTTATTAGTTTCTTGGTTCTTTATGTAGTTTTTACATCATAAACCTTCACCTGATTCTCATATACGAGGATGAGAAACCGTAACAAAAGGAAAGGCAGGTGACCTGAGTTCTTTCGCAGTGATGGTGGCCTTATCCATCCATTCCAATGCTGTCCTTGGTAAGCAGCATGCAATTAACAGAAACTATCCAAAAACAGAATTTACAGCCATAAAAACAAAAATATCTTCCTTGATAAAACTAACTGGCTCCCATACACAAGGAGTAAAAACAATACTTTAGCCTCATCAGCATGAGGCTCTGATCAAGGAGACCACCCAGTCACCCAGGAAGGCCAGCGCCCCCTTCTGAGCACAGACACGCAGAGCACAGGGAGAAGCAGAGGCATTCCCGCCCTTCTGTCGGAGCCCTGCCTGCTGACCCGGAACTGGGGCACCGGAACTGGGGCACCGGAACTGCGGCACCGGAACTGCTGCACCGGAACTCTCCACCTCCACGCTCTCGGGAGGCACAGCCACCAGGATCTCCGCTCCTCACCCTCACCTCACGGCCCACGAGCAGCGTCCCATTTTCCCGTCTCCACCACTGGTGCACCAGGCCCTTCTCTTCTCCTTCCGCTCCACCAACTGACAGCCCTCCACTCTCCCCCTTCTAAACTCTACCCCAGCCGAGCTTGGGCACCAGGGCTCTCTCCCCACACCACCGCCTCCCAGGGCCCATTTAGGAGGGAGCCAGGGGCAAGTCTTCCACAACAAGGGGTCTGCGGCTGCTGCGGTCCTGAACTGGGAGAGGTGAGCGCTGGCAGGGTGACATGGAACATGTTCTCACAGAAACAAGTACAAAGGGCGGTCAGATTCCACTGCATCATTAGTACGACTGTTCAGCTCTATTATGAATTTTTTTACAGCTGGCCTGTGAAATGGTCCTACATAACACTGTTTCTATGGGAAAATTTATTCCAGGCCATAAACACCAATCTATAAATTTTGAAATTCAGTCCCATTCATGAAGTGAACATTACCTATACCAAGTTTATGATCTAAATCTTTACATCTACTTTAAATGACTAAGAAATGACTAAAGAATGTTTTCAGACCACAGTGTGGTCTGAAAGTTTAATACTGAATGCCCAACAATAAAGCCGACAATACATTTAAAAAGGGCTTTTTTAACCACTAATTCATTTCAGATTTATTCTTAAATCTCCTACATGAAACAGTGCCACACTAAATGCACACACTATGCACACAGCCTCAACAGGCTGATGCTCGTACTTCCACTGCACAGCAGATGGCGCACTTTCACAGTTTCTCTGTAACGTGACTGTAACAGTATCTGTTATGAATTCTTTCATACCAGCAGAAAACTTCTGGAAAAGAACAGAAGCATAACTAATTTTGGAAGCTACTGTGTGTAGTTACAGACTGCATTTATTCTGATTTTATATATTCTATTTTTAAAAATCAGTTAATAAAACTGTTTTTTGACAAACCTCACTCTTTTCCGAAGCTTTCTGAAAAGGGGTCTGAGACAGGGTTCGGCCTGTTTCTAGGCAGCACTGGTCAGCTTCCCTGCACTGGGTACCTGCACACTGCATCTTCCAGACCATCTTCTCTGGCATTCGATTGAGAAGGAACTGTGGAAAGAACGGGTAAATTTAGACTGCAGTGCCACCCAGTGGTTGAATGACTGTAAAAGTTTCCTAACACACACAACAGTATAACTGCCGCCTTTAGAGTAAATTTCTCAACTGATTACAATATCATCTACTAATATTTAATTAATGAACTATATCTGCTTTTTCTGTTTTGTGTGTTTTCAAGTAGTACCTTCAGCAATTGATAAACATCCCTATTTTATATTCCTAGTTCAAAGATAATCCATTTCCCCCTAAAGAGAGTTCCCAAATTACACAAATATTATAACTATTGGATAGAAATACTTTTATTCATATTTATATTACATATTGTAAAATTCACCCCACCTAGATTATCAGCCATAATACTGTAAGTGCTGTGATAATCCCCCAAGTATGTTGTTATAGTACTTGGACTATTTTTGCAGTAGAAAAAAAATCCAATTAAAAATTCCCACCAAAGGACCTAACTAAAGGAGAAGGAAAGAAAAAAAGGAGCAGAAATAAAAAAAACTATGACCCATACCCTCCCCCGACCCTCCCCCACCCCAGAAAACTACCTCGGTGCCTTGGGTTTACCTGTACAAAGAGCACCTAGAGAACTTCCGCCAAGATGGAGACGTAGATGGAGGATCCACCTCGCCTCTGTGCACAACCAAATCTAAGAACAACTATTTTTAACAGCGCTCACAACCAAGCCACACGGAAAATCGACAATACGGAGTCCAAAGGACAACTAGATACTCGGCTGGACCGGTACGAGGGGCCAGGCCAGCAGCGGAGCAGGTTAGCAAGAAAAAATTCCCGGGGCGGTGCGCGGTGCGCGCAGGCAACCGAGGGCGGTGATCGCCAGCGAGCTGGCTGCCGGAGCGCACAGGGAAGAGGCGTGGTGGGTCGGTCGGTCACGCGCATTTACGTGAGGAGAAACCAGGGAGAAAGGAAACCCACGCGGTGCAGCAGGCTCGCACAATTAGGATCGGATAAACAAGCCCGAGGCATGTGAGTGACTGGATGCGCTGGGCTAGCGGAGAGGAACGCCATTGCTCCCTCTCTGACCCCGCCCCCACACACAGCGTCACAAACCAGCGACCTGGGTCGCCCCGTCCTGGTAAACAACTAAGGCTTCGCTCCGCTCACTTAACAGCACGAATAGACCAAAAATGGCTCTAGGACAACTCAGAGCCCCAGAACCGATAGACCTAAGTGATGAAGAAATAGCCAGTCTTTCAGATGCACAGTTCAAAACACTGGTTATAAGGATCCTTACAGAACTGGTTGATTTTAGTCACAAATTAGAGAAACATATGGAAGCTAAATTAATTGAAATAAATGGTGATACAAAAGATGCCAATAGTAATGGAAAGAAAATTGGGACTCAAATCAAGGGAGAGGACCAGAAGGATGAAAAAAATGATCAAACAGAAAGGAATGAAGAAATAAGAATTCAGAAAAATGAGGAGAAGCTTAGGAACCTCCAGGACATCTTTAAACGTTCCAACATCCAAATTATAGGGGTACCAGAAGGGGGAAAGGCACAACCACCAGTTAAAAAATTATTTGAACAAATAATAAAGGAGAATTTCCCCAAGATGGCAAAGGAAATAGACTTCCGAGAAATCCAGGAAGCTCAGAGAGTCCCAAAGAAGTTGGACCCAAGAAGGAACACACCAAGGCACATCATAATTACATTAGCCAAGATTAAAATGAAGGAGAGAATCCTAGAAGCAGCAAGAGCTAAGGGGACAATCACCTACAAAGGAGTTCCTATCAGACTGTCAGCTGATTTCTCAAAAGAGACCTTACAGGCAAGAAGGGGCTGGAAAGAGGTATTCCAAGTCATGAAAACCAAAGATCTACAACCAAGATTGCTCTACCCAGCAAAACTTTCATTTAGAATGGAAGGACAGATAAAGTGCTTCTCAGATAAGACCAAATTCAAGGAGTTCATCATCACCAAGCCCTTATTATATGAAATGTTAAAGGGACTTACCTAAGAAAAAGAAGATAAAAAAAGATGAACAGTGAAAGGACAGCAAACTCACAGTTATTAAGAACCACACCTAAAACAAAAGCAAACTAAGAGGATAGCTAGATCAGGAGCAGAACCATAGAAATGAAGATCTCATGGAGGGGTAGCAACAGGGGAGTGGGAGGAGGGGAAGGGGGGAGAAGGTACAGAAAATAAGTAGCATAGACAGTAGATAGAAAATACATAGGGGGGGAGGGTAAGAATAGTAGGGGAAATACAGAATCTAAAGAATTTGAGACACATGTTCATGAACTAAAGGGGGAAATGGTGGGGGAGGGGTATGCAGGGTGGAGGGGAAGGGAGGGGGGAATAGAGCAAATGTAATGGCATAATCAATAAAAATAAATAAATTAAAAAAAAAACAAAAAAAAAAAACAAAGAGCACCTAGCGGCAGATAAACAGGGAAGGCTGCGGAGAGCATAGCCCCCAGTGGCATGGCCCGTGCAACCCTACAGAAGGAGAGGCTGCCACTCCAAGAGAAAACTCTAGTTTATAACTAGTTCCCATGCCAAAATAAATGCTGAAATAAATCTGGAATTTGCACACACTCTAAGAAAACTATTTACTAAAGACAGAAATGCTGAGAAGGAAGATACTGGAATGAGCCTATCATGACAAGAATAAGCAGCTGTCTGCAGAACTGAGAATATGAACAGTCTCTGAAAGGTGACTCATGTGTCTGCTCTTTTCACTGCCAATGTCTTCCTTCCTCCTTCCTTTTCTACTGTCATCACCCCTCATAAAAGCTTCCAGAACTCTCCCTTCACTGCACTACTTCTTAGCATTAAAAAAAAGATCTCTCCAAACTTCTTGTTCATTCCATTGCTGTAATTCTTTTCTTTGTGTTTACGTTAGTAAGTCAGCTTTAAAGACGTGTCAGAGGAACATAAATATACAGTCTTCAATTAACTTCTACATCCAAGACAGAGGAATATCATAAACAGTGCACATGCCAGAAATGCTTACTGAGCTTCCCCTCCCAGTCTAACTATCGACGATACAAAACTATAAACCAACCAAAACGTCCTCCTTTCTTAGCCTGACAGCACACACCTTACAGACTTTGGTGGTGATGCCCATGTCTTTGTGATCCTCACCTGTCCCCCAAGACTCTCCCAAAGCCTGAGGAAAAACAATGCTCCTGCTCATGAGTGAAGAGCAACAACTGAACAGATGTGTTATCAGTGCCAGTCTAAATGTGGCTTTTTATTACACAAACTGTCTAATTGCTATTTGAAAACCTGATGGAATTTCTAGATAAACATTTTTTAAAACACTGATTTGCCATTTAAATTGTGAAAGCATGTTATCTTTATGGATCAAAAGACAGAAAATGGGGCAAGGAGAGTGGTTGCTAATGCACATGAGATTTCTTCTCAGGGGAACAAAACTGTTCTAAAATTAGATTGTGGTGATAACTGTACCACCTCATGCATATACTAAAAACCACTGGATTGTGTGTACACTTTAAATTAGTAAAGTTTATGGTATGCAAATTTCTCAATAAAGCTATTAAAGAAAAATAAAGGTAAAAAAAAGCCCAGAAGTGGTTTCTCACACCAGTTATTCCAGTAAAATTTAGGGCCTACAGTCTTGAGGTTGGAGAACATCCTCCTCAATGATGACATTTGCATGTGTCAGAGCTTACAGTTTACATTTTATTAAGCATTAAGAGCTTTAATTAAGCCATATTGTTTGCTATTTGGATGATACAACATTGCCCTTGAGATTACAAATATCACTCTACATTTGGCACACTGGCAAAAATTAGAGAGAGAGAAAGACTGGCCAGTGTTGAAAGGAATGAAGGGATGTAAGACACACCCTGCTGGTGGGGTTCAGACTGCTACGGCCATTCTGAAGAGCGACTCAGCAGTCCTTAGACAAGCTAAAGTACATACACCCAGCAATCCCATTCCTGAGTCCGGAGGGGTGATGCGTGAGATTATTCACCACAGAGCTGTTTGTGCAGGTAGGGAGCTGGAGTAACCTAGGTGCCTGTCATTACAGGATTGAGGGCGGGGAACAAAAGTCAAAGGCAATGAATACCACAGGGTATGAACTATTATTTAGCTGTTAAAAGCAAAGATTTAGCTGTACATCAGGCATCAAGGATGGTTATTAAAAACATAGTTCAAAGCATAAAAAGGAAAAGTAAAAAAAACAGGAAGAAGAATTTCACAGTACAATCCCATTTATGGAAACGACAAACATTCACACAAAACACTGCTGGTTTTAGAAGACCACCAACAAGTAAAACAATGTACATCAAACATCAGAAGGACTGCTTTTGAAGACAGGAAGTAGGGGAATGTGAGCAGAGAATGAGAAAAAAAAAGAGTGAATAAATAAAAAGCACAGAATGAAAGAAGAGCCTTTGTGAGGACCAAAGATAACTGTGCTCTGCACTGAGCAACCTGATGAACTCGACCATCTGCTGCAGGGAGTGAGAGGTGTGATGGAGGACGAGGTAAGGTGAGTGCACAATTACCTCTAACTCTTCCACGGGGTGTTTTTTTAAATGAAACTCCAAATCATTCTGTGTGTCTTCCTCTCCAGGTTCCTGACCACCCACACGTTCGTTCAGTTACTGCAGCTCGATCTTATCCAAAGCTGCTTTCAGATCATTCCGCAATCCCTGAGAAAGCTGAAAATTAAACACAGTATGATGTTTCACCAAGGATTCCCTTAATTTTTCACTACCAATAAGTGTAATTCATCTCAGACGACCGGTCGAGATGGAGGAGTTGGTAAACACCGTCCCTGCTCCTCCCCTGACTGCAAGGCAATCACAGTTAAGGGACAGAACCGCCATCACTGAGAACCACCTGTGGACTTCTGTGCACTCCCTAAACATTCGTGAATGCCAACAGTATAAAGCTAGTGTCTCACCTATGTCACAGGCTACCACCACGTTTCTAACCAGCGGCAAATTCCACATTCTAGTCCCATCCAGCTTGTGACCATTTAATAAAAATGGGAGCCTAAAAATGGGAGCCTTAAAGCTGGATCCTTACTGCACACCGTTTATAAAAATTAACTCAAAATGGATCGATGATGTAAACGTAAGAGCTAAAATGATAAAACTCTTAGAAGGAAGCATAGGGAGGGGGGCAGCTTCATGACACTGGATTTGGGAATGCTTTCTTATTTACAACACCAAAGCACAAACCACAAACAAAAATAGGTACGTGGGACCTCATCAAAATTAAAGAACATTTATGCCTCAAAGACATGGTCAACAGAGTGAAAACATAACCTATGGAAAGGGAGAAAATACTTGTAAATCATATATGGGACAAAGACTGATATCCAGAATACACAGAAACTCCTACAACTTAAGAACCAAAAACAACCCACATGATTAAAAATGGGCAAAGGCCCTGAAGATTTGCAAAGGTTCAATAAGCAAATGAAAAGATGCTCCAACCAACTGTGCCACTCGGCCAGGGAAGCTTTTGGTTTTGCAGGTGGTTCCTTTTGCTGTGCGGAAGTTTTTTAGTTTGATAGAGTCTCATTCATTTATTTTTGCCTTTACTTGCTGTTAAGTGTATACAGTCCCCAATTTGGAGGCTTGTTACTATCTATGGCTCTTATTCCATTGATGACTTCACTTACCTAAAGATGATGCCTTATTTTATTAGTAGGAATTTTAACAGAACTTCAGTACCACCCCCTCAGGTATTTAGCACTCATAGTCCAAAGCTCATTCGCTCAGGCAGTGACCACCAATGGATGATAAAACCATTACAGGAAAGGTTGACAGTGGACAGCGGAAAGACCAGGCTGCTAATCAGACCCACTGATCAAGCCTGGCACCAAGACATTATGTTTTATACTATATACTGTGTGAACATTTTGTCCTGTGTGATACACGTAGAAAGCACATGTCGTCGGTACAGCATTCCTGCCAAAAAGGTCAACATGAATCTAATGAAACACTTGCGTCTACCTCCAAGCTTACGATAAATGAAGGAAATAGAGGAACAAGGTAAACAACACCACCAGGACACAACCAAACACTAAAGTTTTACAAAACTTTCCCCAGTTTCTCCGACAAGTTAATGGCATCCAAAAAAGGCAGACCTGGGGGAATAAAGATGCTTACAATGAAAAGAAACCAGGAGTTAAAATAAACAGATGAAATGACTGTGACTGTGCTCTGTGTGGGGTTGATTTGAACAAATCAACTATAAAAAGATATATGTCTGTATATTTTAATTCGATTGCAGATATCTGAATGTGAAAGGAGTATTTGATGATATCGAGGGCCTAATTTTAATTTTGTTATGTGTCATTCTATTTATATAAAAACATGTTCAGAGGGAATTTGAAGATGGCGATGGAGTAAGATGGAGCTGATGCTAGCTCCTGTACTCATGGGTGAAAATCCTGGCAGATCTATAGAGAAACAGCACAATAAACCATCGGTTACCCAGCATTTATGAAATTAAAAGACCAGAGATTGTGACCGACGCTGAAACACCAGACGGCGGCAGAGTCAGCTACTGAAGCTGGGTCTCACACGGCCCCTGTGCTGCCGCCAGAGCAACAGGCCTGGGATCCAGGGAGTCAGGTACGGAAGCCGGGGACACTCCAAACCCCTGTGACGGCTGTGGGCGGCGGAGGAGCCAGCTATGGGAGCTGGGACGTCCTCAGCCCCTGTGCTGCTACCATAGCAACTGGACTGGACACGGGGAGTCAGGTACAGAAGCCGGGCACTCCAAACCCCTGAGACGGCCCTGGGCGGCAGAGGAGCCAGATACGGGAGCCGGGACATTCCCAGCCTCTGTGCCGCTGCCGTAGTAACAGGCCTGGGTGCTTGAGGAGGCAGCTACTAGACCCGGGACATTCAGCAGTGGTAGGCGACCAACGCAGGGACCAGCGCGAGGACCAGCATGAGAGTAGGTGGAGATGAAGAACATCAAGAAACTTCAAGGAGTCTGCACCACTGAACTTCACAAGGATCATACCACAGAAGTTTATACCATAAAACCAGGGTTTCAGAACAGCTAAATTTTAGAAGCAGAGACTAACAAGAAGAGTCTCAAACAACGAGAAGACAAAGAAACAATCCCCAAATGAAAAAAAAAGCAGAAACTTCAGAAAGAATGTTAGATGAAATAGAGGCTGATCAACTATCAGACAGTGAATTCAAAGCACTGGTTATTACGAAGTTCAAAGAGCTCACAGTGAACTACCAGAAACTACAGGGGAACTACAATGATCTCTCTGCAAACTACAGCAACATGAAAAAGGAAATGGAAACTATCAGCAAGAGACAAGAGGAAATGAAGAATACAATTTCCGAATTGAAGAACACGGTAGAAAGTTTCAAAAGTAGGATAGATGAAGCACAGGATAGGATTAGTGAGTTGGAGGACAAGGTAGAAAGCATCTCACAGAAAGAGCAAGAAAATGAAAAGAGGCTCAGAAAGAATGAAGAGGGATTAAGAGAAATGCAAGACAATATGAAACGTAATAATATCCGAATAATAGGAATACCAGAAGGAGAAGAAGAACAAGGGATAGAAAACGTATTTGAACGAGTAATGAGAGAAAATTTGCCTAATTTGATAAGAGAAAAAGTCTCACAAATCCAGGAATCACACAGAGTCCCAATCAAGAGGAACCCAAGGAGGCCCACTTCAAGACACATCATCATCAAAATGGCAAAATTCCAAGACAAAGAGAGAATCTTAAAGGCAGCAAGGGAGAAAAAAGAAATAACATACAAGGGAGCCCCAATAAGGTTAGCTACTGACTTCTCAATGGAAACACTCCAAGCAAGAAGAGAATGGCAAGAAATATTCCAAGTAATGAGAACCAGAGGCCTACAACCAAGGCTACTTTACCCACCAAGGCTCTCAATCTAGATGGCCAAATAAAGAGCTTCCAAGACAAAAGAACCCTAAAAGAATACGCCTCCACCAAACCAGCTCTACAAGAAATACTAAAAGGACTGCTTTAAGGGAAGGAAGGATAAGAGGGAGACAGAGAGGAACACAGGTACAAAAACGGCAATGAATAAGTACCTATCAATAATAACCTTAAACGTAAATGGATTAAATGCTCCAATCAAAAGACACAGAATAGCTGAATGGATAAGAAAGCATGACCCACACATATGCTGCCTACAAGAGACCCACCTCAGGACAAAAGACCATCACAGACTAAAAGTGAAAGGCTGGAAACAAGTTTTCCAAGCAAACAGACAAGAAAAAAAAGCTGGGGTAGCAATTCTCATATCGGACAAAATAGACTTCAAAAAAAAGGCCATAAAGAGAGACCCGGAAGGTCACTTCATTATACTCAAGGGAAGAATCCACCAAGAAGACATTAACATTGTAAACATATATGCACCAAACATAGGGGCACCCAAATATATCAAGAAAATCTTAGAGGACTTCAAGAAAGATATTGACAGCAACACAATTATAGTAGGGGATTTTAACACCCCACTATCAAAAATGCACAGGTCTTCCAAACAAATTATCAACAAAGATATTGTGGCATTAAACAACACACTAGATGAAACGGACTTAACTGATATATATAGAACCCTTCATCCCAAAGAAGCTAAATACACATTCTTTTCAAATGCACATGGAACATTTTCAAAGATAGACCACATGACAGGACACAAAACGAGCCTCAAAAAATTCAAGAAAATTGAAATCATACCAAGCATCTTCTCTGACCACAAGGGACTGAAATTGGAAACCAAACCCAAAGAAGAAAACCCAAAGCACCCAAAATCATGGAGACTGAATGGTATGCTATTAAACAACGAATGGGTCAAGAATAAAATTAGGGAAGAAATCAAACCGTTTCTGGAAACAAATGAAAATGATCTCACAACAACCCAAAACTTATGGGACACAGGGAAGGCAGTCCTGAGAGAGAAGTTTATAGCAATACAGGCCTACCTAAAGAAGATAGAAACATTTCAAACAAACAACCTAACCCTACGCCTGCAAGAACTCGAGGAACAACAACAAAGACAACTCAGAGCAAGCAGAAGGAAGGAAATAACCAAGATTAGAGCAGAATTAAATGACATAGAAACTAAAAGCACAATTTTAAGGATCAATGAATCTAGGAGTTGGTTCTTTGAGAAGATAAACAAAATAGACAAGCCTTTAAGTAGGCTCATCAAGAAAAGAAGAGAGAGGGCACAAATAAACACAATCAGAAATGAAAGAGGAGAGATTACAACTGATACCACAGAAACAGAAGGGATTGTAAGAAATTACTATGAAGAACTGTATGCCAAGAAAGTTGAAAACCTAGAGGAAATGGACACATTTCTAGAAAAATACAATCTTCCAAAACTCAGTGAAAAAGAAGCAGAAAATCTAAATACAACAATAACAGCAAAAGAAATTGAAGCAGTAATCAAAAAACTCCCATCACACAAAAGCCCTGGACCAGATGGTTTCACAGGAGAATTCTACAAAGCATTTAAGGAAGAGCTAACCCCTATTCTTCACAGACTATTCCAAAAAATCCAGAAGGATGGAAAACTCCCAAATTCTTTTTATGAAGCCAGCATCATCTTAATTCCAAAACCAGATAGAGACACAACAAAGAAAGAAAACTTCAGGCCAATATCACTGATGAACGTAGACGCTAAAATCCTCAACA